GTAGCTAAGAACACCTGACGCTCTACGAAAAAAAAAAAAAAAAAAAAAAACAGAAATGTTTCAATCTACTGATGAGCTGACAAACGGCAGCAAGGAAATCATGATCAGTGTTTTATCAAACACACTATAAATCGGGGCTGCACAACAACATATCGCAAAAATATCATCATCGCAATATCAGTGTGCGCAATATTCATATGGCAAAGGACTGCTTGTAGGGCAAGAATTGTTGACTGATGCATTTAAAGAGTTTAAAGCCGCAGCAGCGGCTCACAGTAGACACAAATGACTGCCAAAAGTGTTAAAGGTCACATAGAGGAAGTACAGGTTAGATAGGGAGGAAAGAAAAATAAATAAATAAAAAGGACATATTGCAACTGATATCGTCATCACATGATTATCTAATGTGCAGCCCTACTATAATATGAGAAAAATTCTTCAGAATGAGTTTTTAAATTTCTTATACAAATAATGTAATAAATAAAACGATTTATACAGACTTCATTAAGCAAAAATCCCAATTTAACAACAAAGCAGTTTTCAGTACAATATGAGGATTCTATGAATAAACAAAAAATATTAAAACTTTTTAGTTTTGGGAGACAGTTTATGTTTAGATTGTTACAAGATAAAATCTTTATTGCTGATGGAATGATTCAAGCTTACCCATTTTTCCGTCCTCAACAAAGAACACGTTCAGAGGAATGAGTACGCTGAAGTAGAAGACATCAATGTTGTTCTTTACAGCCACCTGTAAACAAGTAAACAAAGCAGAAACTATGCTAGGACCATGTTTGTTCAAAGTTAACTAAGAGCAGAAGACGAGAAACAACTAGATTTCTTCAAATAATATTCAGCACATAGTGACACAAATCAAAGAAACAAAGTTAAATGGAAAACTTTAGCAGTTAAATTTGTTGCTTTAAATAGAACAGCTTCAAACAAATTGGCTTTAACTGAACACGCATGTTGACGGCGCCTGCTTCTGTACCTGTAGATTATTGAGAGGATCCATCTTCATAACTGGCCCGATGGTGTTCAGAGGCAGAGAGGCGTCGATACTTTGATTGGGCATCAGTGGAGTGTGAATGGGCAGAGGACTGGTGGGGATCACTCCGAAACTACCAGAAAATAAACAAATAAAMAAAMCGTGTCAAACRTTTGTCGAAAAYGAACGTGAGTTGGATTAAACTGATTAACCTGTTCTTGTTGAACTGGATGGCGAAGTCGTTCATGTGTTGCAGAGCCTTGTTGGTGAAGTTCATGTCCATGTACATGTGGCCCTGGCGTCGGGAGAAGGTTCCAGAGATCTCCAGTCCTTTAGCTTTCACTGCAGGAAGCCACACCTGATTAAAAAAACAAGCACAGCAATCAGTGTTAAAGTATTTAATGGTACTTWAGCATCACCTGCTTATTAATGTTAGATATTCATCAGTCAACATAAGACAGCCTCGGWTCCAGACCGTTAGCTGCAGACTCACCGCCTTCGGGGCCGAGTAGCCTCCAGTGGTGATGGCCATGCCCGTGGAGAGCTCAAACAGGTCGTTGAGGCCGCTGCTGGGAGGTGCAGGTGCAGGTGTGGGTGAAGGAGCAAAAGTGCTGGGGACAGAGGACGGGATGAAGTTTTGTCCCACCTAAATCAATAACAACAAAGTAAAAAAAAAAAAACAATTAATGCAGCTGAACAAAAAATGTGTTAGAAGCCCATAAAAAATTGATTTGATTTGATTTATTCATTTCATTTAAAACAAAAAAAGTTTACAT